TCTCTTTATCATCAAATAACCATTTTTTTAAAGCACCAGCTTTCAAATAAAAAAAAAATCATCAAAATCGGTTCACTCAGTCGAAAGTTGTGGGAAAAAAAAAAAAAAAAAAAAAAAACTTGGACATTGTTAAGCTTTAAGAACTTGAGTATCAACACGGAAACCTGAGAAATTTGAGAAATAAAAATAAACTCCAATTATCTTGCACGCGTACACACCATGGAAAGAAAAGTATCTTATTTGAGGGAGCACAATTGTTTAACAACTTACCCAATTTTTAAATTAAATTTAGGACACGTTCTTTTTACACAACATTCTCTAGTCCCAAACTAAGCAATGCTTGTACTATGGGTACTAGAAAACTGATAGACATACTTAAACATACTTTTCTTTTGTCAATAAATACACATTATACATATATAAACACCCAGACACTAGAAAAACACTATGCAATCATCACACAATATTTTTCCAGTAGTGGGGATCGAACCCACACCCTCTGGCGCAGAAGGCCGTCAATTATCTTAAAGAATGTAATAGTATAAATATATTCAAAAGTAAATTAAGAAAATAATTATGTAAGCATGTTATAGTTAATTTTTCAAAATAATAGTTTTGTAATGTTTAATGTAATATGAAGAAAAAAAAAACAATTCCACTATTTATTATATTGTAAAAAAAAAATAATTTTAATACTACCTAATAACAATTTAAATAATATTTTAAAATGCATGTGACAGAAGTGTAAACACAATATTTGATAATGAAATTTAAATTCAAATCTTATTTTAAACGAACTGTTATAGTTTTTTATAAGAAATAAACTTCTTTAAACAGAAACCCGTTATAAACTCGTATAGTATTCAGTAGTTTTAGATAATAAGCTGATTTTGCTTAAGTTAAAGTTTTTGCGCTAACTTCGCTTCGTGAAGGCGTCGTCGTGGTCAATGTCCGCCTTATGCAGCGGTAAAAATATAGAAAAATAAACATGTTGACTGATTATTATTTAATAATATTTTTTTAAATGGAGGTAAGCGTACAAGCAGGTGGATTATTGGCCTGTATTCTTTTTTTGTGAAAAATTGCCAAGCGAGCAGGCGGTTCACCTGATGTCACCTGTGAATACCGCCGCCCATGGACATCTGCCAAACCCGAGGGTTGCAGATGCGTTGACAACCTTTTGAAGATTGGTCTCCAGCTACCTCACTCACCAGACGAAATGCGAAAGTATTATACTTCCACTTTACGCCGGTCTTCTGTGAGGTTGTGGTACTTACCCGGACGAGTCTGCCCATTCGTGCAACAGCCGAGGCTGCTGCGTGGCCCTACCTCCGTATAACTTACGAAGAATTACGAAAAAATCTTCAGCTTATAATTTAAAGTTCGTTTTAAAAGCATGATAATGAATAAAAAGGCCAGGCTTATCCCGTCCAATAAACTTTCTCTTTAAAACATTTCTCAGCAGCCACCACGATAGAGGGTCCGCTGAATAAATTCATAGGAGCCATATTTAGTGCGGCGACATGGTGAGCGTAAGAAAATTGCAATTTGCCCGCGAAGCATTAAAACGCGCCGGCGGAATTTGTGAATATTGGATAGGAATTTATATTACATGTAACCTCGCGGATGGGCCACGGTCGGGGGCTGGGAAAGTTCCAGAGCTGACGTTCCGAGATGTAACCGGCTCAAGCTGGTTGCAGCCCGCATTCGAAGTTTGATTTTATAACCGATAGATGGCGTTTTTAAATAGTGTTATGACAGTTTCCACAGATAATGGAAAATCATCGGGAGTTTTATGTGTCTGCACATCCAGTTTTTTTACTGGACAGTAACTTCAAGAAAATAGTTTAAATATTGGTGCTTTAATAAAACGAAAGTGGTTATTATTTAAAATCATCATTGGTTCCATCAGAAACTGTCACTTTTACTGTCCAAAAATTACATGTGTGGCAGATTTTCATTAAAGTCAATTTAAGTATGTAGGTACCTATATTATTACCTGTACTGCGTACGCTCGCAAAGATCTGTGGTACATAATTTTTCTCTATGTAAAAATCAAGAAAACCGGCCATGTGCGAATCTCACTCGCGCAAGAAGGATTCCGTACGATTATCTATAAAAACTGAAACAAAATCATGCCTGTTGTATGGGAGACCAACTAAAATTTTTTTAATACTGTTTTTTAGTATTTGTAGTTATAGTGGTAGCAGAAATACACCATCTGTGAAAATTTTAACTGTCTAACTACCATGGTTCATGAGATACAATGTCTGTATGTCTATCTGTCCGCCTGGTGACAGACTGACAGATAGACAGACAGACAGCGGAGTCTTAGGAATAGGGTCCCGTTTTACCCTTTAGGTACGGCACCCTAAAACTATTGTAACACTCTTTTTTGTAACTTTTTTTTAATTAAAAGTGGCGTCGCTGTCTAGAGATTGTTAGATCTGTCCGCTCCTTCCGATTATCTTTTGATGTAGCCGCGCAGTGCGAATATCGCAGTTTTAAAAGGTAATACCTTAAAACTGCGACGTTAGCACATATGTACGATAAATTTAGTGTAATAATTTGAAAGTTTAAACAATACAATGCGGAAGCAGTGAATTTCGTGTACCGCAGTCGTTACGGTTAATGCGATGGCTTCGATTGCCGACGAATCGTTCGAGGCAGTTGCTTTTTGTTTATTGTACAATTATTTTTTTTGTCTTTTATTTTATGAAAAAATTGCCCTCACATTAGGATAACATTATCCTGTGTTGTAAGGACGTTTTACGAACATAAATTTTACTTGGACAAACAACCAGATGGGAAACAACTACCCGTGGGTCGCACAAATAGTTGTCCCGTGTGGAAATCGAACCTACGACCTCCGACGCCGAAGCCAATACCTTGGCAACTGCGCCACGGAGTCATCAAATAACAAACAATTAAAATAAACAAACAGACAGCGGTATCTTCTAAACTGATCTGCTTTGTGTCAGTAAATAAAGTACGTTATTGAATCCACATTTAGGTCGCATTTAGCTGAACAAAGATAAGTTCAGTTTAATTTAATTCAATGGGAGTTAAATTTATGTCTGTGAAAGTGGTCAGTATTGAGATGATAGCTGATAGGATAGTGGAAGGAACGTGTTCTATGTTGCGCCGACCCCACCTAGGGTGGGACAAGGCCAGGAGAAAGAAGAAGAAGGGAGCTAGATTTGTTTTTTATATACCTGCAAACATTCGAAGTTGCGATGGATACAGGTGGCTCAGAATCGTGCTTCGTGGCGATCTGTGGGGGAAGAAAATTTTCAGCAGTGGGGTAAAACAGGCTGAAATGGCGACTATGATGATATTAATTATATGCCGGAATAAAAGGCTTACAATTTCAATGTCCGAGTAAACGCCATTTTAACTTTATTAACCGACTTCATAAAAGAAGGAGGTTTCTCAATTCGACCGTATACATTTTTATTTTTTTTTATGTGTGTTCGCGGATAACTTCTTCGTTTATGAGTTTGATGATAGTTTTTTGTTGGAAGGGAGATATCCCAAGGGTGGTACCACGATAAGGAAACCCGGGTCTGTTGAAGGCTTCCCAGAGAAATCGAGGGCAATGCTCAAATGTTATAGGTGTTAACAATGTTTTTGTTTTCCTATATGAAGTCGGTTTTTTTTGTTAAAAATTATAAAATATATGTTATTAATATGCTGCAAAATACTTATAAAATTCAAACACTTTACAAGAAAGACTGTGACAAACGAACTCACTTCATCGCGTTCCATTTATAAATTATTAAACTATTTGGACCGACCCCATATCTGACAAATCACTTCTCAACACCTGAAAGTGAAAAACTATAGTAAACCACTACTATCCAATAAACTAAAATGTGCATTACAACTTGTTTGGAAGGTGCGTTGCCCACATTTAAGCGTCGTTCTCCAATAATTCTCATCCATCCTTCAAAGAAAAAACGAAAAGATATGATTATATATGTGGTAAGGCCACGCAGTAGCCTCGGCTGTTGCACGAATGGGCAGGCTCCTCCGGGTAAGTACCACGACCTCACAGAAGACCGGCGTGAAGTGCAAGTATAATACTTCCGCATTTCGTCTGGTGAGAGAGGTGGCCGGAGCCCAATTTTCAAAAGGTTGTCAACGCATCTGGAACCCTCGGGTGTAGCAGATGTCAGGATTTACGAACCCACCTCGAAATGTTGTAAATAATACAATTGTCTATTTTTTTTTTTTAATTAGGTTGTCTATTTCTCAGACACGGAACCAATTTTCTTTTATGTGAAAAATTTTCAACGACGATATGGTTCACCTGATGTTAAGTGAGGACCGCCACCGATGGACATCCACAATACCTGAGGGCTTACAGATGCTTTGACAACTTGTAAAAGAGTAGGCACCTGTTAGGTACCTAACATACCTTACGAAACGTGAAAGTATAATAGCTCCACTACACGCTGATCTTCTTGGAGGCCGCAGTACTTCTGCGAACGAGCCTGCCCATTTTGCAACATCAAAAGCTTTTGCGTTTCATTTCTATGTAGCGTAGAGTAACCATAACTTTCAATATAACTGTCCGTTGTCTAAATTCTGATTAATTTTACAGGCAATTCTAACTATAGCCAGTTGGTAAAAAACACTAATTATATAAGAGCGTAAGGCGGTAATTTGGTGGCGTATTGTCGTAATAAAAACGGTGGTAGATTTAAAAAAAAATATGACTATCGATAGATGAAATGTAAGTTTCTTATGTCGATGAATAAATGATTTTGATTTTGATTTTGATTTTTGGTGCGTTGCTAAAAATAGCGTCGATTGGTTTTCGAAGACATCTGTGAAGATATATGGGCGTTTTGTTTGCTAAAACACCATACCGGAAAGCGTAAAAGCGCTTTACAGCGGCACAATTCACCTTCTAATAGGAAGACAGCGGCGTGCGGGCGGAGCGGATGCCTGCGGCGTCGCCCGTTACTCTTTTTAATTTCGCCCGTCGGCCTTTATGCGCGCGATAGCCTTATCGGCGGCGCGGCGTTCGACGTTTGAAAATTGCCATAAATTGGCCGTTGCGCTGCATTTTCTATTTCTGCCCGCCGGGACGCCCGCACCGGCCTTATCGGTGGATGTTTTCGATGGAACGCTCTGGAACGTCGCGGTTGTCTGCCGTCGGAAGGCGCGTGTTGCAGAGTCGGAGGTCGCGAGGCGTCAGCCGTTTTCTGGAACGTTCTAGTCCTCTCCACGGTTTTTTGTGCTTTGCGGATAGTATAGCAGAGTTTGGAGTAGTTGATGTTTATAATGAACATTCTGTGCATATTTTGATGACTCAGTGGCTAAGTTGCTATTGGCTTCAGCACCGGGTGTTGGTTTCGATTACTACACTGGTGAATAAGGGCGGAGAAAAAACATTCTGGATAGAATTCTTCAGGATTCTATATTTATTCTACAATAAAGAGCTGTCCGAGCAATCTATAATATCGGAGCCCGGAGTTCGCTCAGAGATATTTTTAAAGAGATTAATGTACTCACTGTTGCTTTTCAATACATTTAATGTAATGTTTTGTATATTCGTCATAACCTTTATTTTTACTTAAAGAATAGTGACAGACATAAATTAAACACTAGAAATAAGGACAAACTTACTACGCCATTGTTTCGCCTACAAAAAGTAAATAGGTCGTTCATGGGCCAAGGTGTGCGCATGTATAATAAAATCCCACAACTGTTGAGTTTCTTGCCGGTCCCTTCTCAACAGAAACTGCTTTCCGAACCGGTGGTACTTTACGAACCTCTATGTATAATTTTTTATGTAAACTTTGACGATTCATAAGAACGCGCAAGCGTCTATTTGAATAAAGATTTTTGATTGATTGATTGATTGGATGTAGAAGAGACATGATTGAAGCAATTTGAATTAGAACTTCCAGGTCTTTTGCGGTCATCTACTGTTTTACGTCCTGTCTTGTTGTAGCAGGTCGTTGACATTTCCCCTTCGACCGGATTCACGTCTAGTGCGGTCCCTACCCTTATACCCTTTGGGTACAGCAACCCTAAAAATAAACTCTTGCCAATATCAATATTTCACATTTATCTGTATTTTTAATTACATTCTTCGACAAATGTTTTGAAATAATGTATTATATTCAACAATTTCTCATTTGAGTAAAACAACCCTCCAACTCTCGTTATCTGGAGGTCAAAAAGGTTATAACTATGGAGTAATATTTTCTCTCTTTTGTTTCTGCGTCGTCCATAGGTTGACTGGTAGAGAATGCCTTAGGCATTAATTCCGCCTATACACAATACTAACTTTTTGTGTAAATAAATAAATAAATAAATAAAATAATGTTCAAAGTAATTTGTAAAGATATTTAAAAAAATAACAAAGGGTCATTACAACGACTGGGAGCATTTTTAAATGAAATAACGATAAACGAATAAATAATATGACTAAAACCATAAGTATATAATTTCTAACTTCTGCCCGCGATTTCGAAGCTGTGGAGTGAATATGAAAAAATATCATATGTTCATTATTTATAAGTATATTCCTAACCCGATAGAAGAGTAATATACGCAAAAAAGTAAGTAAAAGTTATTGTTTCAAACCGTACATGTTCCATTGAAGTCCGTCGAGCTGATTCTGAGTGCATCTGATATAAATTCTATATTTATTCTTCAAAAAAGAGCTGTCTGAGCAATCTATAACATCGGAGCCCGGAATACACTCAGAGACCTTTTTAAAGAGATTAATATACTCACTGTTGCGTCTCAATATATTTATTGTAATATTTTGTATGTTAAAAATAATATTAATAGTTATCTAAAGAATAGTGACAGACATAAACTAAATACTAGAAATAAGGACAAACTAACTACGCCATTGTTTCGTCAACAAAAAGTAAACAGGTCGTTCATGGGGCAAGGTGTGCGCATGTATAATAAAATCCCACAGTCGATATTAAGTCTGCCACTTGATGAATTTAAACGAAAAATTAAAAGTAAACTTATGGCTAAAGCCTATTATTCTATTGCCGAATATCTTGACGACGCCAATGTGTGGGGTTAATACTGTTGATACTCACGTAGGCTAAAACAAGACTATTGTACCTGTACTATTATATTGTAAACTGATTTTTTTAAAAAAAGCAACTGTTGAGTTTCTTGCCGGTTTCTTCTCAACAGAAACTGCTTTCCGAACCGGTGGTAACTTACGTGTTAATTTCTTGTAAAATTTTGACGTTTCATAAGAACGCGCAAGCGTCTATGTGAATAAAGATATTTTATTATTATTATTATTATAGTCTATACGAGCAGAAATTCAGACAGGCAAAGAGAGAAAAATCAATTGCAGTTTTCACTTTAATTTTACTATTAGTAAAAATTAGCTTTTATGATATCCCAGCAGAAAAACCGGACAGTTGCGAATCAGGAATACATCATCTGTAAAAATTTCAACTCTAACTATCACGGTTCATGATATACAACCTGGTGACAGACAGACAGTGGAGTCTTAGTAATAGGGTCCCGTTTTACCCTTTGGGTACGGAACCCTAAAAACTTAACAAGGGCCTAATGAATAGTCTTCGTCAGTCAACCCGCCTATTACATTGTTTTATTGTATTAGAAATATCCGACGGGCTTTTTGATTCTTTGCCTTTCCGTAATCTACAGTAAAACTAAGCAAAGACGTTAAGACTTTAAAGTAGACAAAGTTGCGTTGTTCGGTAAATCCAAAGCCGAAATCAAATCTGCAGTTAAGTTGAGTGCACACAACGACGTGAATTATTTAAGAGCGGAGTCTGGTCGTAGCCTAATATAATATACGGCGCCGGATTTTGAGACTCCTAGTTTGTGCTATATTAGATTTACTACTCTCTGATTGTGTATAGTGTAGACGAGCGGCAGACGCTTCGGGCCCGTGTATTTTAACTAACTTATTTAGTGGGGTCGTTTTATTTCAGTTTGGCAGCATTGGCCTTGTGATGAAAACACTGTTTCGATCAAGTGTATGTTCCAGTGGTGTGCTTTATAGATCAATCTCAATCTTCGCCTCTAGAAACTGAAGACAATAAAAACCACCTTTTTTTTCCTTTTTTTGTGAGAAGATCACTAGTCGAATCGGTCCGGAGATGACATTCCGATAATTTGTTTGTGCGTGGCCGAATATCTTGAGAACAGCACATAGTATTGCAAAGTCAAAACAGGTTGTGTCGATGGTATTCGGCGGTTCGACGCGTTTTTGAAACTAAGTAGAAGGCACAAACCCGAACTGTTCAGAGTACTGGTGAAATGTTTTCGTGAAACGTAAACGTTTTTCTTTTATGTGATAAAGTGGCAAACGAGCTGGCGGTTCATCTGATGTTAAATGATAACCGCCACATTTGCAACACCTAATAAAGTGGGCCCCGGCTATTTTACTCACCAGACACCACCTGTAACACTTCTACTTCACGCCGGTCTTCTGATCCAGCTAGGTTTTATTTTTAGATGTCCTTTTATCCCTGTTGAAAACAAAGTAATGAAAAATATCATTCGAATGGATGGTAAATTTCGCTGAAAAAAAAATGTTTTAAAAGCTCGGTCGGTAATCGGGCCGCCCCGAAAGAGAAGGCCGCGGTTCGTGTCACGATCATTTACACACTTATTTTTTACTTTTTTTTTCTATACCAGGTCATTGCTTTCTTTATTGTTTATTTTTTAAATTCCAAAATACACGATTTACCAAAAAAAAAAAAAAACGAGCAAAGCTAAGGTCCTCCAGGTACTGTCATTTATAGTGGGTAAATATTTATAACTGGGAGGGACACCTGATGGCCTAAAATACAGGCTTTTCTTAGTTTAGGCATCGGCCTCCTACATTGCTTTGAAATTGCTTTAAATTATGTAGTATGTTCTATAAATTGTACAAATCGATGTGGTGACAAATAAAGCTTCTAATTGTTATTATTATGGACATCTACAAGGCCTTTGTGTACGGCAGTTGCGATGCCTATTAACAGGTTTAAGAAATTTATTAAGGAAAAACTTTATAAAAAGGGTTATTATAATACAAATGAATACATTAATGACAATAACCCCTGGGAATGAGTTGATCGCTCCCAAGCTATTTCTAAAAGGAAAAAAGAATCAGTTGTATAATAATTTTTTAAGAAAAAAAATGGATTACAAAAAAGAGGATACCTACGGAGTTTCTTTCGCCTGTTCCTTCTCCGCTAGAGGAACCTCATTACGAAACGGTGGTAGATTTAAAAAAAAATATGACTATCGATAGAGTTGAAATGTAAGTTTCTTATGTCGATGAATAAATGATTTTGATTTTGATGACAGCTTTCAATGAATTACGCCTCGACATTCTCACTGGCTACAAAAATGTAACACTACAACTTAGGTACTTCGTAGCTCCGAACGAGCCTATACATTGTCACAGAGGAAACTGCGTGCGCTTTTCTAAAATGGTGGTCAGCTCTTTGAAGTGAAAAAAAAAGTAACACTCTGTAATTGATTACACTGTGGCTTGCCGCCTAGTGGGTGCAACTTTGCTCGCGGCCTCAGCCCCCCCAGCGGTAATCACTCGCTAATAAATTATCAGAGGCCGACTCGTATTGCGACTGCGAGCTACTGGGGTACAATACAGCACCCATTCTTACGTTCCCCGTTCCCTCGGGATCTGCACCACGCGTTGTTCAAGGGCACAGGTTCGAATCCCAGCCCGCCGAGAACGCTTAACGTGTTACGGGAAACTCGATCGATATGAGTGCGTACTTTGAGGCTATTGCGTTACTGACGGTGTTCTCGTAAAGAATACAATTGTACTCACATATTTAATTTGTTTTATTTATTTAAGCTTCCTTGCTGCACTTGAAAGTAACGGCTGCAATGGACTGACTTAATGCCTAATGGCGTTCTCTGCCAGTCAACCCTTGTCATGGTGAAAAGCAGACGTCAGGTGCTAAACGAAGACTATAAAATTTAAGTTAATAAATTTGCTCTGAAATATAACATATATGTAAGTATAAGTAATTATATAAATATTGAAATATATTGTTATGCATAGATATAGATAAATAAATAAATACATATATTTAATCTGGCATTCTTAGCCTAATGTGATACGCGAAGATTCAATTCGGCCCTCGTCTTATTGCACTTGAATGATACGATAAGGATAATATAATACGGCAAAGGGTAAAACGAGACCCTATTACTAAGAATCCGCTGTCGGTATATCAGATTCTATCTGTCTGTCCGTCTGTCACTACGCTGCATCTCTTAAACTGTGATAGGCACTTGAAATTTCAAATCA